CCCAGCACCCAAGTGGGAAGACTGAGCGGCTCACACTCTGACATTGGTTTTCAGTTAACTCAATTGCCACGATGGGAAGGAAGGTGAGGGAACGGAAAGGTGCATGAGTCCGCAGAACAGTATTGTTTAACAAAGTTTCAGAACGAGCGCAAGTGGAAGCGGCTGCAAAGCTGAGGGAAACTTGTTTTGGGGGTGGAAGCATGAAGGACCATGAAAGCAAACCGATCAAATTGGACAGCTTGAAAAACAGTTCTTCCTGCAGGTACAGGAATGTGCGTCCACATTCCATTCCGGCTGAATCCCGTAGCTTCGTTGGCATGGCTAGGGAAACAGCTGCCATGCCCCCTGCTTTCGTGAAAAGTGGGAGTGATTGGAAACCCTTGGAAACAGGGTGTGACACACATACACAGACAGCTTGTACATTCAAACAAGGCAGGTCTTCCTAGGTCGTTGTAATGAGGTTTGGTTTCATTGGTCATTGGTTCCCGTCCCCTTTCATTTGGTTCCCCTTTTCATTCTTTTCTCCTTCACACACACCTTTCTCCTCTTTTCTTTCATGTCTTTCCTGGCTTCATGTCCTGTCACCTCACTCCTTTCTTTCTCTTGCGCGCACATCGGTCCGGGCCTTAGTCTGTACGCGCACATCTATTTTAGATTTAGATTTCAGGTCGCCCAGGTTCTGGTAATGAGGTTTGGCTCACCTTTTGTCCCTGTGCATTTGGTTCCCTGTTCATCGCCACCACGTGCACCTTTGTCCTGAGTCTTGTCCTCTTGTCATGTCTTCGTGTTTTTGTCCTTGGTTGCGTGCACCCGTGCACATTCGCCTCAACCTTAGTTTTTTTTTTGGGCCCCCCCTCGGGGAGGCATGTGTGTGTACATTGCAGCTGATTGCCCGACGAAGAGGGCTGCAAGTGTGGCTGGTATCCGGAAGGGGCGCCTTCTGGATATACCTGCTTGGGTGTGGTGTTTACAAGCTGTTACTCTCAGGGCAGACGTCGTCATCCCGATCGATACGTGATCGTCGGTTTTGAGTTTTCGGCCTCATTTTCGGTTAAGGACCTCCAGGATCCACAGGTTTTCGGCGTTCCTCTCAGGAATCTGGTTCCTTAGGTTGCCGTGTGGCGAGCGGCATTCGAGTCAGTGCGCATGTCAATACGTGTGTGCGCGTCCACCTTGGACTCCTTGGTGGTCTTCGGGTTTTAGTAGGGGGTTGGACTCCTGAATTTCCAGCAGGCGAGCGCCACGGAAGATGCTCCTGCAGTACTTGTCAAAAGGTACCTGCTATTGACCCCGCCTCGGCATCTAAGTGCAGCTGGTGGGTCCTACGTTGCTGGCCCCGGCGTGCAATTAGACTAGGCCTTTTCATCGGCTCTTCACTTTGACAAACGTGAATTAGCTGGTCGGCTTTCGAGACTGCCGTCGTCCGAACTCTGAGCTTCTGGATGCTCGTGGAAGTTGGAGCGCATTGGAGTGTGATCAAGCTTTGAACCCCTTTTGCGCTTTGGACGGCTACACGCCGGCGCTGCAGCTTTTGGCTCATCTGGCTTATGCAAGCAATTTTTCACTTAGGCATCTTCAGGGCTTGACAAGTCAGATCGTATGTGCTTTATGCCCCGGCATCGTGGCCAGACCTCCTTGTGACGAAACCTGGGGCGCCTCCCAACCTAGTTTCATTGTAAGTGTGCACGCGCACGCTAAGGCTAAGCAAGCGTACGCGCAGGGGCCCCAAACCGGAGAGACAGGACAAGACCTCAAGGTGGAAACGCGCCCGACCGACTTGGTTCGCCGGGATGCAGGCCTGGAAAGGCACACCTGCGGCGACGGAGTCCCGACAAAGAGGAGGTCCTGCAACAAGGCCATGAAGACAAGGACAAAGAAGAGGAAAAGAGAGGTGGGAGATGAGGGAAATGAGGAATGGAGGAGAAAACACGAGAAACTTGCGAACGCAAGCTGCAAGCTACAACACAAATTCTAACGAAAGAGCCGAAGACAAAAACCTGCCTCCTTCTGGCGGGGCCCCGGATCCAAGTGACATATTTAATGCTCGTCATTTCTTGCGCGCACGCGGGTGTGTGTTGTGTGTGTGCCCCTTGTAGTCACAGGGATTCCTTTGAATTGTTTCTTTTACCATGAGCAGGGGGGCGCAGGAGGCCCATAGAGCTGTGCCCAACGAAGCTCTCTATGGTGACCTCAGGATATGCAGCCTGACCAGCTGCGCGTACCTGCTGTTTGAACTTTTGAACAAGCTTTGACTCCAATTTCCAGTAAAGTGCTAATGAGCTTGGCAGACATGAGCGTACGACGTCATCTTGACCTGCTCGTCGCCTTCGGTCTTGAGCTTTTGGCCCTTTCTCCTTTTGAAGACCTCCAGGCTCCATAGGGTTCTCCTGGACTTTTCAGGATTTGGTTTCTTAGGCTGGCGTGTGGCATATGGCATTCAGTTCCGTACGCCCAATCATAAGTGTGTGTTTGTGTGCGTGGGGGTGTCTATGCAGGACAGCTCCCCGAAAACAAGAAGTGACAGGATGGTCCGGATGGGCAAAACGTCACGGAGTCAAGTCAGTGGCCTTCTTGTGGTGTGCTTGTCTCATGCGTGTGACCCTAACCAAGGTTGTTCAGTCGAGTGTGCCAGTGGCTGTCGTCAAGGTTGCCTTCAGCTTGGAGAAGGGTGAGTTGAGTGACGTAGTGACTTGGGAGCACCGGATTGATTGGTGGAAGATTTCCGAGCAACAGAGCCAAGGTTGTCTCCGAAATTGGCGTGCACTTGGTCCAGCGAACCGGCTGAGCAGATCACCTATGGGAGGCAATTCAACTTGATCCCTCGCGGCCAAAGTGGCAAAGGTGGAGCTGCCGGAAAGAAAGGGAACGTTCAGCGTGGAGGTGAGTGAAACACACAGCTCGGAGGTCCAGGTGTTGGAGTTGCTGAAGCTGAGCCATGAGTTGAAGGGTGGCCCACGGTGGGCTCATTTGAACTGCAAAAAGGAGCGGCGGCAGTTTTTGGCCGATTGAGTGACACATTTTTCTTGTGCAATGCAATCTGATTCAGTTGGTCACGTGCTGCACCATGAGCCAGCACCACGGTGCCATAGTTTGCCTGTTATATGCATATAACATTGTTAGGTTGGAGGCCATTGAAAGTAGGTTGGAGGCAATTGCTTCTAGGTTCCTTTTGCTATTACGCGAATCTTCCTCAGCCAACCTCATATAACTTGGTATGCCCTTATAATGCTAAACATATCAAAATGAAAACTGGTGCTTACAGGCTGTAAAATTGGTGCATTTCCTGGTGTGTGGTCTGGTGTGTGGCAATGTTTGTCAATTGTGTATGGTTTTATATTTATCAAGGTCGACATAAAAAGTTGTGCAAACCTGGGTGTTGAGACGAATGTGGCTTCATTGAATGGTGAAAGGGTGGTGCTAAACCTGGTGTTGAAAAGGATGTTGATGAATTGAATGGTCAAAAGATTGCGCAAAAACTGGTGTTGAAACAGAAGGGGCTTCATTGCATGGTCCAAGGAGGTGTAAAACTTAGTGTCGATAGTGTCGAAACAACCGTGGAGTCCCAAATCAAAGCACCAGAGATGAAATACAAGATAAATACTAGATCAGCGCTTTGAGATGCGCTGTGCTTTTTCCAGATTTGCAGTGAATGCTTGGACCGCTGCCCGGCAGGCTTGTCTTCATACACGCGCAGAAGAATTAAAGTCAAAGTCAAATGATGTGTTCCCACATGCATGTGCCGGACAAATGTTCCGGTTTTAGTGATATGATATGATATGTATGATAAGATACGTTGTACTGTGTACGGTACCAGAAAAATCTTGCCCGAACTTGCTTCCGCTTGACGCATTAGCAAAGCCTGCCATGTTGGCAAATTTATATCGGCGGCAGAGTCATGACCGATCCAGAAGCCCCAGCAGCTCTCGAAGAGGTCGGGAAGAGGTCGGGAAGAGGTCGGGAATAGGTCGGGAAGAGGTCGGGAAGAGGTTGGGAAGAGGTCGGGAAGAGGTCGGGAAGAGGTCGGGAAGAGGTCGGGAAGAGGGCGGGAAGAGGTCGGGAAGAGGTCGGGAAGAGGTCGGGAAGAGGTCGGTAAGAGGTCGGGAAGAGGTCGGGAAGAGGTCGGGAAGAGGTCGGGAATAGGTCGGCAAGAGGTCGGGAAGAGGTCAGGGACAAATATTGAGCGCAATAATTAGATCAATTTATTGAAATTTGTATTTTTTAATTCGTTTTAATTACTTTTCCACGTGTCTTAGCATTATGGAGAGGGACTTCTTGCAAAATGTGTCCCCGACCTCTTCCCGACCTCTTCCCTTTTTGAAAGCTGACAGGGTTGATTTGGCGATAATTGGCGATCGGTGATGGTGGCATGGTGCCTCTTCTGTCTATTCACGCGTGAGTGGCAATTTCCCTCTTGAGTTGGCCAGGGGCGGGGCCATGAAGCGAGAAATGCGGGTATAGCATTAGCATCGAAACATAGGTCCATAGGCCATGGCCTTAGCTGGCGCTAGATTCAATGTCAATAATTCAATTAATACTTAAGCTCTGCTGTGCAGGGAGAGGAGGGCAGGAGGGGAGAGGAGGAGGGGGTGAGAGGGGGGGATATAATTCATGAACAACAACAATCATGACTTGGTACGGGCGTAGCAGCGTTAACACTAGAAAATCAGAAACCTATGAATTCTATGTCGCGGGGTGTGGCCCGCGTGGGTGGCACCAACCGCTCACAGTCGACCACCATGGCTTGGCAATACAAGAAGTATTTTTTTCAAAAACGACGTTTTTGTAAATAACAGTTTTTGTCAATAACCGTGTGGATGGCTGTGATGGCTGTGGATGCCTTTGATGGCTCCCGCCCCACTCCCGCCCCACTCCCCCACTCCCGCCCCAGTCCCGCCCCACTCCCGCCCCAGTCCCGCCCCACTCCAAGGGCTGGAAAACCCAAAGTAATATGTGAACATGTGTTCCTGGATTTCTAAAACATAAATCGAAGTCAAGGGTCTGAAGATTTCTGGGACTGTTTTTTGATTGCATGGATCGCCATTGAATAGTTGAACACAAGTTGTTCAGCGATCTGAGCTCTGCTTACGCATGAGTTTCTTGCACCAACATAGTCAAGATTTGAACCCAGTCGTGCACCACCCCCGACACCTCGTCGTGCACTGGAAAACCTCCACGTGATTAGCATAACAAGGGCTTACCAACATATAACTAGTCCGTCCACCGCCCAGTTGCTGCCCAGTTGGCAGGTCAATGATCGTGGTGCTGCTGGGACATTGGGCGGCTGGTTTGAATCATCGCGTGATGTGACCGGGAAGTGGGTGTGGGGCTCAGCTGGGCTCAGCAGTTCAACCCTCCCTAAATTTCCTGCCGGCTCAGCCGGGTTCAGATGGATGCTCAGGTCTTTCTGAAGGAGGTCAGCGTGACCCAAACCATCCCCAAGATGGACTGGTGCTCAGTAGAGCACGATGCAGTGAAAAATCTTGCACCACTTTGTTCAAGTGTTTGAATGTTTAACATTCAGCTATGAGAACCCATGCCCGACATTGAACATAGAGCATGTAGGGGCTGAGTAAACCATTACTTAGAGCAATGCATCCAAGTGGCACGTTCGACTAGGCACACGGACAATGCACAGTCAGTATGTCAGTATGTGCATCGGGCTTGGCTTTGGTTTGTGCGTGCGGATGTTTTAGTGACACTATTTGCAGGCACCCCTGCTTGAGGACCACCTCGCTTGTTTCCTGCCTGGGACATTGGCGCTGGACGTTTTCCACTATGCCACGGAGCACTTTGGGCCACGGGCAGTGCAGCCTCATTTGTTGGAAAAGGGCCGGGCTTCCGAACTCACTTTGGCGCACAAGCTTCTTGGTTCACTGTAGATCGCTTTTTCTGCTCATGTCTTCGGGGTTCTTGCTGAGAAAACGCACGCATTCTCACCGCTTGCTGTGACCCAGGCTCATGCAATCCTGCCTCTCAGCTCAAATTGGTATGGCCTGAGAGCCAGCAAGGCATGGTTTGATCAACGGTGCTCCGCGCTTGCAATTGCAAGAATACTTCGCTTTTGACTGCGTTGAAGCACATCGAGTGAACATTGAGGCGTGCACATGTACTTCCGGACCTCTTCAGACCTTGCGCCAGAGATCGTCCGCTTCAATGCGCGTGGTTTGCTGGATGACCAGGGCTCCACGCACAACATTTTGCGACCCGAAACTGCTCCTTGGCTAAGGCCCTTACTTATATATACTGTAATTTAGTATGGTATATACATAGGTAGCCGCATCGACATTCAACTGGATTCAATATTTCTTTCATGTCAGGGCCTCATCCCTAGTCTCGCTCTCTCGCTGTGAGAGGTGGAAAGCCTTTATATGATGTGGCGGACGACCAAGCTGCAGATCTACAGGAATTGGGGCCAAAGACTGCTGTCTGCATTCTACCGCTTGAAGACCCCGTACGGCTTTGGTGGCCTTCGCAATGTGAACCGGCCTAGCTCCAAGCGCGATGACATGCCATCCTTCTTTATGGCTGAAACTCTCAAGTGTCTTTGGCAGCCTTTACTGTAGCTCCAAGTTGCTGGATGCCATCATTCTGACATTTTTAGTAGTTAGCAATGTTCCATCTATTCTGCGTCTCTCGCCAAGCACGACTCGGTGACACATGTCAATCCCCGTTTTAAAAGTCTTTTTCCCCCTCTGCGCAGCATCTTAATCACACAGTAGTACTCAGTAGGTTTAGGGCCAACGGCCACCAAAGGCACCGCCAGAAGTAGCACAGGCCGTGAAAGGAAAAGGACTGCCTATTGACAGGCTCCAGGTAAACTTGCCGCAAAGCATTTTTACAATCTCATGTCGAAAGTGGTCTGAGGTATTTGTTCTTGTTGTTCTCCTCAGATTCTGCACTTCCTTTGGATCACTTTGTGCTCAATACAGAGGCGCCAGATGATATGTGTTATGTACTTGGCAGTGGCTTCCCTTTAGCCAGCGGTATTGGTCGCGGCTCCAACTACTCTAGCTGGCCAGAGTCCAGTCATCCCAGTTGATACATGCGCATTGTGGGCAACCCTAAGGAGAGATCCATTTCGTAGAAGCTCATTTGTACCAGTGCATGGGTTTGTAGCACTAACACTCCCGGCATGCCCTACGTTTACAGGCGAACCCGATTCCGGAAGGTTCTCCGACTCATCTGGTGCGACTCAGACCCTGTGCGAGGCCCATCCGGTGCCGGTGCTGCACACTTTGCTGGCCTTGGGAGTCAAGTGGCCCTGCCCTCGCGGCACCCCGAATCTTGTCAAGAAGTCACTCTGCTGCTGCTGCTGCTGTCCCTATAGCCTATAGCTGATCCACACACAAGGTTGAGACGTACTGGAACTTCCCCTTTCTTTAGCAAGTAGTTGGTCAGTCAGACTCAACAATGCATAGATCTTAGTACCGGAGGACTTTTAGCCTCCTTGGATCTCCCTTATGGCTCACGGCTCACCTCCTTGCTTCACATGAGCTTGATGTCCTTGTTTCCGATAGAAGGCATTTCGGTATGCAAATTCTTATGCAAACTTAGTGCGCGCGCACACACACATATGTATATAATATATATATATATGTGTGTGTGTGTGCGTGTGCATTTCCACAGCCAATCACGTGAGTGTCATGACATCACTTGCATCACCGACCGCAGCCGCGGCGGGCATCTCGAGAGAAAAGCTTGGGCCCATCTAGCTGCGCCATCCTACCCCCCTTTTCAGGGATCTCTAGCGTTTGGAGCCATAGAGGAGGATCGAACTTCGTTTGTCGACCTCGAGATCTTGTTGTTGGTAGCGGAGCAGGCCACAGCGATTCGGGATAATATCATCGCGGCCTGTTCGAGCGCATCTGCATCTTCCCGTACTTCCTGAAGTATGGCAACAGCATCCACATCTGGCGGAGCCACCGCCAATGGACTTGGAGGATCATCCTCCTACACGGGCAAGGCCCATGAGCTGATCCCAGAGTTTTCTGGAAAGGCTGCTGACTACAAGGAGTTCGTCTGATGCTCTATGAAAAGAAGAGGGCGCAAGACCGAGACAGCCTTCAACATCCTCAGCTCCCTCAAGTACAGAGCATGGGACGCTTGCGAAGACGTGGCGATGGACGTGCTCGAGAGTGATCGCGGAATGCGAGAGATCTTGACTCGCTGCCTCGCTTGGACTCCGTCTTCAAGTTTGACGCGGTCACTGAGCTCCCCCTGAACTCCTGAACTTCTTCATTTCCATGCAGCGCAAGTGGTCCGAGGCCATGCAGGAGTACACGGCCAACTTTGAGCGCCAGTTGAGGCGCCTCGCCGCACATGATGTGGCCCTCCCAGTCAGAGACAACTGATCATGAGCACCATCAAGACAACCACACTGTCTCTAGGAAGGCCGTCAACTTTGTAATCGGCCAGGACCAAACGGAGGACATGGACGTGATCCCCGCTTCAAGCACAAGGACAACTCCATATACACCCTGGCGGAGGACTTGGCCTATGATCAGGAGCCAGATGAAGTGCACTATGAAGATGAAGACTTGTGGGAGATCGGCCCCGATGACTCAATGAGCCAAGCCCCATGGGCAGATGACGATCCTGCCTATTGCGGAGGTGGATGATGATCCCGTCCTCGCCTGCGATGCTGCCTCCGAGTACGATGACATCATGGCGAGCTATGTCGGGGCAAGGTGCAAGATGAACCAGATGAGAGTGAGCAGGGGCTACTACCCTGTGGTCGCCATGGTGCAACCGGAGCAGCGATCCTATGGCGGCACTGGATCTGCGCCCTCTGCAAAGGCTCGTGGACGAGCTGCCTTAGGCGCAATCAAATGCCTTCGATGCGGACAAGCTGGACACATGGCTGCGCGCTGCCCAGCACAATCCCAGAAGAAGCGGAAGGCCGACGCTGACTCGGACCAGGAGATCAACATGGTGGTCGACCTATTCGATGAGGAGGTGAACCTGTTTGACGACGCTGATGAGTCTGAGCCGAATGACTTGGCCATGTTCGACAGCGGAACTGCCCCAGTGGTCATTGGCACGCCGCAGTTGAAGAAGCTCTTGAAGGCATTGAGCCTGAAAGGCTGTGACTTGTCCACCATCCCAGCATGGAGATGTGAGAAGGGTATGCGCTTCCGCAATGGAGGACGTGATGTGACCTCTCTCTGTGTTCTTGTCCCCACCTACTTCAAGGGCAAGCGTCGCGACGTCTTGATGTATGTCTTGGATTGCTACTCCTTGTCTACACGGCCCGCTTTGGAGGTCTTTGGCATCTCCACCAACTACAAGGCAAAGCAGATTGCCTGGGGCGAAGGACAGAAGTTGGAGCCGGCGACGCTGTGACCAAAAGGAGAGTATGTTGTCCATTTGGCAGAAGACCCCTCACCTTGTCATGGAGAAGAAGGACCCCGACCAGGTCTTCATACCGGACGACTTTGACAAGCGCGTCTTTGAGGAGGTATCGCTGATGGACTTCCTCAACATCGCGAAGGACAATGTTTGTGCGATGACGGAATTCGAGAAGACAGTTCACTCAAGTGTGCAAGAGGGAAACCATGAAGGTGATCTACAGCCTGCTGCCTCCGTGATGGAGAATGACCACGCGCAGAAGCAGCAGGTCATTAAGCGTGAGCGCTGTGAGAAAAATGAGGACAGTTTGGACAAACTGTCACCAGGCCAGTTCAACAAGCTTCACTACGAGACCATCGCTGCTGTGAAGGAGCTGGACCGTGATCTGTTGAAGGCAAAGGCCGTCAATGCCTCCAGCTCAAAAGATCCCTACGTCATCTGGGAGGTCTATGCTGGAGAAGGTAAGATCACCAAGACTGCAAACTGCAGGGACAACTGCGTGCCTGTCAGGTTCTCTAAAGAGGATGGCTGGGACTTCTCCATTCCAGCACACCGACGAGCTTTCTTCCGAAAACAAGACTTGGAGAAGCCAGACGCCGTAATCTACAGCCCGGTTTGCAAGCTCTGGTCACCTATGCAAGAGCTGAATCGATCCAAGAGTGTCGTCTATGCCGCCAACTTGGAGCTCAAGAGAAAGGAGGACCACGAGAACCACTTGACCTTCGTCGCCGTCAGCCTTGAGAAGCAAAGAAAAGAAGGTCGCGTTGCACTGGCTGAGCATCCCTGGTCGGCTCGGTCATGGTGCGCCGAGGCATTCAGTTGCATGAAGGGCTATGACACACGAGTTGACATGTGTGAATATGGTCTGCAGTTGCCTGACGATGATGGCAACATCAACCCGGTGCAGAAAGCCACGTGTGTCAAGACAACCAGCGCGATCATCTACAACCAGTTGTGGCGAGAATGCAGTGGAGACCATTGGCGCATCCACTTGGAGGGCTATGCGCAAGGCATGGGCCTGCGCACGGCCCTGGCCGAAAACTACACCCAGCAGTTCGCCACCAAGGTTGTAAATGCAATCGTCATGCACCTCGAGCTGCAGGATGACATCCAGGCTGTGGACGACATTGTGGAGGAGGCCAACATGGACCAGCCTGAAGAGAAGCGGATTGTTGAATCTGATCCCGTTCGGCTTCGATCAAAAGTTGGTGGACGCGCAGTTGAATGTGTCCAGGGGCTGCACAAGAACCTGGTCATTGTGGAGCCAACGTCTTGACTGGCATGCTGCGAGAAGTGCAGGCCACCGATGACGTCCTTGAGGCTGCCCAGAACTACTTGTGCCCTCTATGCTATGCCCGGAAAGGTCCGAAGCAAGCGCCGCCAGCATCTGGACTCAAGCGCGCAGAGTTTAACGAGTGATTGCAAGTTGACTCACATTGGATCCTGAACGAGGACTCCACACTCAAGGTCCATCAACCTGAAAATAGGTACATCTGCGGCCAACCGCAAGGAGAAGGAGAAAGCCGAGAAGATCCCGCAGGGCAGGCGCTGTGTTCTGACAGTGGTTGATCATGCAACTCGCTACTGTGCCATCAGAGTCCTGCACAGTGAGACAGCTGCCGACTTCACCAAAGGGCTTGAACGATGCTGGCTGAAGCATTTTAGCGTCCCGAAGATCCTCAGGATTGATGAAGCAAAGGGCTGGGCATCGAATGGGCAAGCTCTCGCGGCATCACGCTTGAAGTCCAACCCGCAGAGCAGCATTCATGGTTGGGCGTCGTGGAGCGCAAGCGCCAGGTGATTCGCCGATGCCTCGAGCTCTACCAGGACGAGGATGGAAGACATGATGCAGCCGCTCTCAATAGAGGCTGCTACCTATGTGCCCCATGCCGTCAACCAGCTGAGCTTTCACAAAGGCGTCAGTCCTCAGCAAGGGGTCCTGGGAAAGGCCATGAACCACGTGCGTGGCTTGTCAGGTGAGACCTTCAACCCAGGCCAGGAGGCCCTCGATGAGCAGAGCGTGTTCGCAGAGATTCAATCCAAGCGGACAGCTGCAGCCAAGGCCTTCATTTCGGCCGACTCGGACACCAAGCTGCGAAGAGACTTCAACCAGAAGTTTCAGGAACAGAAGGAAGATCTTGTTGTTGGACAACAATGCTGGTATTGGAGGAACGCTAGCCGGCATACTTCGCAAAGCTCGATGGCGTGGACCGGCGAGGGTCGTGGCGGTCGAGGACAATGGTGAGGCGAAGGTTCTCTGGCTATGTCATGGAACATCGTAGATCCGCTGTGCGCCTCAAAATGTCAGGCCATTGGTGGAGGAAAGTGGCGCCTTCGTTGCTGGAATTGCGCAGGCAATACTGCCAGGAGCACCTCATGAAGACCGAGAACGATCTCCAAGACGTCAATGTCAGCAAGCCCGAGGACCACCTTCTGGTGCACCAACAGCCATCCCAACAGAAGCTGAACCTGAAGGAGCTCGACGACGAGCAGCTGAAGGCTCACCAAAGAGAAAACACGCCGAAGAGAAACCAGAAGCGCCACCGCTCAAGAGCACACGTGCTGCGCCCCCAATTCCTTGGGCACCAGCACCTTCCTTGCCAGAAGAAGTTACCGTGCCAACGGACGATGAACTGGTCATTGACGATGTCTTTGTGGTCACAAATGGTGGTGAGGCATTGCCGGAAGGCTGGCGTGTGGTCAATGGCGAGTTCGAGTTGGACGAGGTCTTCATCCAGCAGAACCTGCGCCGTGGCGAGGTCAGAGGACCCTGACGGCAGAGGAGAAAGCAGAGTTCATCGGAGGGAAATGCAAGGAGCTGGAACAATATTTCCAGAATATGGTGTGGGAGCTTGCCACCCTTCAAGAGAGCAAAGATGTAGCGAGGGCAAATCGAATCATCACTGCCCGATGCGTGCTGACCTGGAAGAGAGTCGATGAGGATCAGCCCGGCGAGACTCCCATCTACAAGGCGAAGGCCAGGCTGGTGCTGCGTGGGTTTGAAGACCCTGGCCTCCTGAGCATCAAGCAGCGCCCAGGTTGGCTCGCCTATTCCTCCTGAGCATTGCCAGTTGGAACAAATGGGAGCTACTATGTGGCGATGTCAAAGCTGCATTCTTGTCTGGCAGCGGTTTCGATCGGACGATCGTGGTGAGGAAGCCTGCAACGTCCTTGATCGGAGAAGCGCAAGTTGGTCCGGAGGGCTATGTCTACATGAAGCTGAAGAAATCTGCCTATGGCTTGGCAGATGCACCACTGATGTGGTACAAGGAGGCTCTGTCCCGACTGGCCTCAAGAGAATGGAAGGTCCATCCACTGGATCAATGCTGCTTCATGCTGACCGACAAGGTGGACGGCAAGGAGACGCTCAAGGGCATGCTGGTGATCCACGTCGATGACATCCTGATCACCGGAGATTCCAAGAATGCCAAGTACAAGGCTGCCATCAAGAACCTCCAACAGGACTTCAACTTTGGCAACTGGGAACGCCTGTCAAAAGAACAGCCCATCAAGTACTGTGGCGGTCAGATCTACTTGATCGACTATGGCATCAAGGTCTCGTATGCAGAGTACATGAGGAAACTATGCCCGATCACTCGGCCCGATCAGTGTGAACAAGAACCGCAAGTCCACAGATAACACGAGCGCCAGTGAAGTCAGCAAAGTACCGAGCTCTGATTGGCGCACTGCAATGGCCATCTTCACACGGACCGGCGCTGTGCCAAAAGGAACGGCTCAAGACATCCAGGACTTGAACAAGGCACTGAGGTTCGGAAAGAGCCAGAACGATGTCCCCATCCGATTCCTGGCCAAGCCGAATGAGGAGACCAAGAATGGCTTTGAGCTGCGCAACATGACCCTGGTGCCGACGCTGGTTTTGGCACGAGACGAGATGGATCATCTCAGGGCGGCTACAATCTCATGGCGATCGTTCAAGTTGCCACGAGTCTGCCGCAGTAGCCTCGGAGCTGAATGTCAAGCCGTGCTGGAAGAGTTGCTCCTGGCCAGACGTTCCTGGAGATCCTGAAGGGGCCAGACCAGACCCTGAAGAGCGCAAAAGATGACCTGACCGGCGTCGGTGCGATGGTGACGGATTGCAAGGCCCTGTACGATGCAGTACATCGTGAAACAATTCAACAAGCCAACGATAAGTGAGTTGCTATCAAGGACACCCTGAAGGACTTGAACTGTAGTTGGAGGTGAGTGTCTTCAGAACGCCAATTGGCGGATGGTTTGACGAAGGTGAGCGCAAGGCAAGCCTTCTCTGAGCGCTACAAAGGGCACTACATCCAGCTGATTGCTGACGAGAGCTACCAGGCGGCCAAGAAGAAGAAGGCGCAAGCTGAGCGGAGACAGACTGTGCAGGAAACAAAGATGCCTGCATCAAGGGTTGCTCCGACCCTGATCGGAATGGTCATGGCATCGGAGATGTCGACCGCAGACGGCAAGGTCTATGAGACTGAGGAGAAGGTGAAGACGTGATCGACACCAACGGCTTCGTGCTGTTTGACATCGCGATGATTGTCACCATCGTGATCGGCATCCTGACCATGGGATGGATTGTTTACAACTTCGGCCAGAAGGTCTTCAAGAAGAAGGAAAAGAATGACTCCGACACTGAGGAGGAGCCTGTGCCGGAACTGGATCCTCTCGACCGTGGAGAGGACAGCGATGTGATGGGAAACATCGTCAATGACCTATGGGCCAAGAATGAGAAGCTGAAGATTCAGGTCAAGGAGCTGGAGAACAAGGTGTCCTTCCTGATGGGCATCATCCAGAAGACGGAGAAGAAGGAGAATGCAATGAGCATGTTTGCCGGTATGCCTGAAGAGGTGTTCACGACACCGACCGGCTTGTGTTTTCACACAAGAGTGAACTGCAGCCACATCCACGGAAAGCGGAGAAGGTGGCGACTTTGTAAGACCTGCGGCCATTGAAGGCATTTGAGCAGGTGGGAGTGGCGTGACATATGCCTTCACTCCCTTTTTCCCCAAGGCGAAGTGTCCCAGACACTTTGAATATGTGAGTGTCATGACGTCACTTGCGTCACCGACCGCAGCCGCGGCGGGCATCTCGAGAGAAAAGCTTGGGCCCATTTAGCTGCGCCATCCTACCCCCCCTTTTCAGGGATCTCTAGCGTTTAGAGCCATAGAGGAGGATCGAACTTCGTTTGTCAACCTCCAGATCTTGTTGCGGCGGTGCAATTGCACGGCCGAAGCAGCTCCAGAGAGGAACAGGTATATCATATCCAACTATTGGGGCACCATGATGTGCAAGATATTGATAAACATAATCAAGCATCCTTGAACTCACTGGTTGTGTGCCATGTCAAAAGGGCTTCCATTGTGATGTGCCAACATGGATCAAGTGAAGCACTGTCACTACGTTCACAGGGTCGAGGTGCAGAACAAAAAGGGGTGGAGCAAACCGCCGCCAAGCGATGGTGTTCGTGGGGCTGTGTGGTGAGTTTAATCACCAACGTGATCATGGACACTGGATCCTGGTACCTCTCTCTCTACATATTACTCTCCACCTCTCAGAGAGAGACAGAGAGAGAGAGAGAGAGACTCAGACTCTGGGACTCCTTGGGGAATCTGCTGAAAACATTGGTGGAAATTTGAATCTGCCCAGGCCAAGCGGGGGTCCCAGGACGGAGCCGTCCGAAGAGCTGCTCACAGCTTTGCAGGTTCTCTCTCAGCTTTTGGATGATGGACAAAAAGGGCGTTCCAGAGTCTAGAGTTCGCCTGCTTAGGGTTGAAGAGCTTTCTAAACGTAAATCTAAGATGCTCTCAGCTGGGTGTATGATGGGTTGGGGGGCCATGATTTGCAGACAAGAGAAGCAACCGACCTCAGAATGCAGATGTTGAGCTGGTCTTCCTCACGAAGGCAGCCGCAAAGTAGAGGCAGACAAAGCAGAAACCAGATTTCCTGCAAATATTCCACTGGGAAACTGACACTAGTTGAACTAGTTGCATGGCAGCCAAAAAAGAAGCGAACAGAGGCTTGATTATCATTGGTTCTGTCGCGTTTTGGGCATTTCTGGACCAACATCACAATTTCTCAGTTGCTGGGCCAGAAGGGCTGTCTTCCGGCATGGACGGCTGATCTATCCCGCTTAGTTGGCTGGGAACATATTGAGTAGATAAATGGTTCTGATCCCCAAGTGCTGAGTAGTGGGGAGGGTGAATGCATTGAATGCTGATTGCTTGAGCTGCCTCGCATTTGTTGGATTCGATGTGGTGGGGTTCCTCTGAGCCATGTTCCGTTGGGGCGCTTCGCTGGGCCTCATCAGCCAATCGCTGTCAGAGCCCGTCGTGTCGATCGAACCACTCCACCAGGAGAAAACACTTGGAGTGAATGTGAAGGGACTTGGATGAGTCATGATGAGTTAAGTTAAGTAATGTGGTAGCAGAACGGAAGTTTGATAGAGTCCAATGCATTTACAATGAGTTTATCGTTAGAACACATGCATGGCCGAATAGCTTAGCATAGCTTGTGATTCCTAGCCATGGTGCGAGTGTTGACAGTCTTGAGTCAAGAGGCCTTGAGGGAGTGATTGTCGTGCAGGACCTGCCGAGTCCAAGTCTGCAGAAAGGGCATTTGCCCATCCCACGCTGGGCGGAGGGCACTGCCCGCAGTGCACACCGAAAGGCCGGTCGTGACCCATTGTTTCGGGGCAGCCGACTTGTTTCATGGCATGCAGGGCACCGAAACCGTTTTCCTGGACTTACGTCTTTGCTTCAACGCGTCTGTGGAGTTGACAGCTGTGGAGTGGTTGCCTTAGAATTGGTGAAGTGGCGCCAGGTTTTTCTCACCTCACACGTCATAAGACGGAACATGCAAAAAAGAATCTGGAGACAAGAGGGCTAGGCTTGTTGAGGTTTGATATTCACGAACCATGGACAATCACGGTGACCTGAAGTGCAGCACAGGTTCCATATCAAAGATGCGGGACCTTTGAGATCTGGGCTTTTCTTTTGGCCTGGGACTACAGATGCATTAGGCACTTTGCCATGTGTCGCTCAGAATGATCCGACATTTTTGTTCTTAAGGCGCTTGCTGCATCCAATCCCCAGCAGCTCTCAATCCGTGACGCAGTGGTTCCGCTTGGGGGATCCATGGCCGGTGGGCCCACCCGCTGAGCTGGATGCACTCGGGTCATGGCCCCAGTGACAGAGACCAGCGGAGTTGGGACAACGCCTGTGACAGGCCTGGGGCCTACCGCGCGCGTATGCGGCCTGGACTGAAGCTGATGCCTGAGCAACTGGGGCGGCGAGCACCCACTAAGCCCAGTTATGACTTGCAGCCGCGAGGGGTTCTACGTACTGTAATGATATTTTTCAGCTTTGCTTTGCGGCCTGTGGGACAGTCGTAGGCATTTTCCAAGGCTCGGCTATGCTGACTGTTTCGGCTGGTCCTTGAAGGATGGAGGCCAGGTGCATTCTTTGTACTGTATTTGCAGGCTTTGGAAAATACGACTCCAACTCTCCAGGCCCTGATCCACTCTCATTCGATGAGTCCACGTCTGCAGAGGCCCCGCGACATTTGCTAAGAAGGGTGCTTTGGGAGCGCTGTCTCAGCAGTTGCTACTTCGAGCGTTTCAAATTCTGTTTGGGCCCTGCGGCTGAGCCATCAAGGATGTTAAAGTACCCTTCACAGTCCCACACGAAGCCAACACAGTTTTTGTTTTCGGGTGACCAGTTGCCAGATCACGAGCACTCTGAGCTAACATTTTTGGGTTTAAGACGTTTTAAGAACTGCTGAATGCTATGGCACCGAAGCGCTCCGCTGCCACGGCCGCCAAGAAGGCAGATCTGCGACCCTGGCCACCAAAGGTGCCCTTGGGCACCATAGAAGACATTCTACCGCTCATCCAGGCTGATGACGATTCCCTCGATTCACTGATGTTGCCTGCGCCGGGCTTGCTCGGTGACGACGTGCCCATATCCCCCTTTGGCCCCGCGGAGATGGAGTATGTTTGCCAGTGCCTACGGAAGAACAGCAGTGTGACTCACCTCAATGCATCGATGAATCCCATTGGCGATCAAGGTGCAAAATGTGTGTCCGAGATGCTGAGATGCACTGGAGCGGGAGCAGGTGCACCGCTTCCTTTGGCGCGCCTTTCCTTGAATGGCTGTGGCATTGGAGCTGTGGGAGCAAGAGCCTTGGCGGAGGCGCTCGAAACGGCATCTGAGTTGATTGTAGTAGAACTGGTGAACAATGAGATGGGTGAGGATGGAGGGCAAGCTTTGCTGGAGGCGGTGAAAAGGAACAAGCATCTCAAGGAGGTGAAGGTGTCATTGAATTCAATTTCTGCAGAGACTGAGGCAGAAATTGAAAAAACATTGATGCTAAGATGACAAAGGTCGGCAAAAAGACCTGGGCAGCGGCACAGACACCCTCTCACGATGGCTATCGAGCTGACGGGGCTCAAAGAAAGCTTCCCAGAAGCCTGATTGCGACATGGCAAGGTAGGACATTGCCCAAGCATGCCCAGGTGGGCTTAACAGGGGCCTCGGCGTGCACAGCCACGTAAGCTGCGTGGGTCCAAAGAGATTTGAACCGTTTTCTACGCTTTGCCTAAGTGCAAGCGTAGACCGGCACGTTCAGTTGCACCTTTTCGGGTCAGGACGGCAACAAAACACAGTAGAAACAAGAAGCTATATACTAGGCCTTACTATTGGGGAGCAAGGACGCTACTAGTTAAACCTCGCCGTTTTTCGCCTTGCGCGAGGTGGCTTGGGCCCAAAGCTCGGAGGGCCTCCACGATGCCGCAGAGCTTTACGTGAAACGCCCTGGACTTGATCCTTTGACGGCCTCCGCTCGGAAGGATCTGTGGGGGTCAAACGAAAAGGGGAACAAAAACCAACAAAAGGAACAACGAGAAGGTCAAACGGCAAGAACAAATCAGAAGAAAGAAGCGCTCTAACACAGAGAAAATGAACAGGAGAAATGAACAAAAACAACAAACCGTGAATCATGAGATGGGGGTGGCTTTGGGCGACTCTCAACACCTCGGAGGACCCAGCCATCGACTGGACGGGCCTGGAAAGGAGGACCTACTCAGTGCGCTTGCTGTACAAGGAGGTTGGCGACTACAGATGCATGTGGCACATTGTGGCACGACTTCTCAGTGTTTCGACCTACCACATTGACCCTTCCCAAGTTTCAGCTCCAATTCTTTGGCAACTTTCGCTTGCAGCGTCTTGCTGCTAGGGCTGGGGGGCCAGGTGGAGGCGCCTCCAAGCAAAAGCCACTCAGCCGCCAGCTCGGATTCATTGTGGGGGCAAGCCGTTCTGTGCAAGTGGTGTCATCGGATCAACTAGTGGAAGGACAATTTTTCCCCAACAGCGAAGCTAGGGGTCTTCTGCCATAGTAAAGGCTTCGGAGCAGATTCGGAGCAGGCTCTGGAGGAGGTTCCAGGTTCCGGAGTATAGGTTCCGGAGCAGGTTTCGGAGCAGGTTCTGGAGGAGGTTC